AGGAGTTCAGGATCTCCTATTCCTGCGTGAATAAGCTGTCTACCTTATATAGGCACCCAGGTGGGCGTTTTTTCGTATTATCTGAAATTCCTGACTCCTTCACTTCATGTTTGCCCTAGGGGCCCAACTCGAGTTTGAAGGGTGATAATTCATTCCAGGACTTCAATCTGTATCAAATGAAATGAACCGACTCTGTGTGGAAGGGTGGGTGTGATGATGGGCAATGTGACCTACACACGTGTAAAAAGCCCAGACTCCGACGTTAATCAGTCCCGTGACTGGGTTGCGCCACGCACTTGACTTTCATTTAGAATCGTAGTGGTGCTTTGAATGCTTATGTACCTATACAATACAATTTTGGAGATTAACCGATGTACAGTCAGTGCTTCTACTCTCCCAAACTAGTTCGGTACCGACCAACCGACCCCAAAGGGACGGAAAGCTTGACTGGCCCAAGCGAGTATCGAGCCGGGATCCGATCCCGAACCACGCGTGTGTGACAGTGCGCCACTTATCACTACACCACTTCCGCCCTACCCTTATTCAGACCATTTCGAAAATCGATTTTCGTGTAAACATAACATTCAGAGGAATGTACAGGTGATATAACTGTTCGAGAACGCAAACAAAAGCTTCATCAAATTCATTTCGACATCATAGATCTCATCAAAGCTTTTTCACTCTAAATGACAATTATTACTGCAAACGACTCGTTACTAGTATATAATATCAAAGGGACACGGAAAAAAAAGCTGCCATTATCAATGAGCATTGTAAAGACCTCACACTGCTTAAGTGATGAAACTAATGTTTCTCTTAACAATGATAAGCTCCAAAATAGCAAACTATTACTTCTATGTAGGTAAATTACCAATAAGTAAAAGATATGTGATTAGCACTATGGCACAAACACATTTGTTATAAAGTAAATAAACTGGAAATGGGATATCTAACGAAGCAAACAGACGACTAAACGAAAACCTCAACAAGAAGGAAAAAAAGGTTACAGAAAACAATACTGGTTACGGTAATAAACTGTAAATGTTATCTATCAACATCCGCGTAGCACGCTAATACAATTTGACCCATTCATAAGACACAACAAAGTAATCTTACCATACTAACAAATGATGCCAGAATCGATACTATTGAAAATTCCCGAGCATATCACAGATGGTTGCCGAATTTTGACACAGCGAAATTAGCACATACAAAAAAAACATGTTCTTCTTGCTATATGGGCGCCCCGGTAGCTGCGCGACCGCATTCGCGGCCACGCCCCTCCTACTAGCAAAAGAAACACGCGATACGGTATGCAGACTAACTTCACGATTAAAATGTCCACGGAAAAAGCCACAACGCAACCGCTAAAGAATCGCTGTCACCATGAACACTTCAGAAAAATTTTAAAAATAACTCAGCATAGTAAATATTACCCTTACCTACCATGGCAATATGGTAATGAGTAAACGAAGCATGCTAATATGATTCTTAGACGAGATCCATATATTGATGAAGTCGGCAGACTTCCCTGGCAACGTGTACGCCGCTTTGATGCCACCATTTAGTGATTCTTCTTTTTTAACTTTTTCGAATGTTTCGTTTCCTTTTCATATTTCGGCTCTTCTCGCTTCTCTTTTTCATCATGACTGCGGCCATTACTCCACCACCGTGGAATAATAACTCGTAATGGCATTTCGAATTCGTTCGGAACCTAAACAATCTTTGCCATAGAAATATAAAAAACACAGATAAATAAAAACACAAACACTTCAAATCTGCCGTGCTTTAGCTTTGAACCGTGTGGAGTTAAGCTACTTGCTGAACACTGAACTCTGGTTATACCTAGCGACTGCACGGCTTCTCACATATGTAGGACATAGATATTGATCCCAGCTCGGCGTCACCCCATGACTTTTGCCGTCTGGCCGCTGACTCTAAGGTTAGCTGCAGGTGGCTATGCAATACCATGCATCAAATATGCAGATTTGGTTTCTCGGAATGGAATGAGCACGCTTTTACGTTAGTTCAACAGTTACTGAAAAGGTCGAGGTCTATCCTCTTTTTCACCAAGCATGAACCAAAACCTTGACCTTGTAATTGCCTACGAGGCAGCTGACAGCAGCTGCTAGTGTAGACGCAATCTCAGAGTGAGGTGGAAAAGCATCGAAAAATAATCCCGCACGAATATCTTACAATCCCACCTCCAAGTCCAACATTGATGAAATAATGGGAACAGGACAAGAGCACTAGCTGCTTGCAGGTAAAATTTCGATAGGGTAGCCACCAAAAATTCGATGAAATGATTTGATTACAGCTATACCACAAGTAGTAGTAGCAAATACACAGAAAGAAGAGATAGGTTGGAGGAATCCATCCCTTTTCGTAGCATACATATTCCCTGATAAATAATGGTCCAATCTAGTTTTTTTCTTTTGTTTTTTAACTGGGTTTTCAAGTTTTAAGAATAAACACGTTCACTCATCTTAGGTAACACGGACAAGTTACTAAAAGAAGAGAAATACGGTACCTTTCCAATGCTACCAGCCTCGAAAAACCATCCTAACGGGAACCACAGCCGAATACGGTCGTCTGTAGCGGTAAGATTTGCATGATTGTATGCGTAGGCATGATAGTAGAGGAACATTCGAGAAGATATGTAGAATGCTGAAAAAAGCGGACCTATCGATCATAGACTGAATCACTACTGCTGAATCGCGTGAATGAAAAACGAAGGAAGAAAAAACATCGAAATGATAGGAACTACATGAAAACCAACTCTTGTGAATGTAACAATAATGAAAACAATATGTTAATCAATATTATTACTAATTGACAATTAACTAATTAATGAAATCCTAGTTCAGTAGCTTGGCATACATGTAAATGATCAAAACGTAAGCCAGTCGGACCGGTTTTAGTCGAAACAAGTAAGGACAGTTGGAGGAAAACAGAGTAACTGTTTCCCATCCACAAATCATTCTTTAACCTCATACTGCACCCGACAATTCTAAGCCAGTGAAACTAGGAATGATACATAACGTACTGCACAATAACCAGTTTACCCGAGTCGTACAATCAAGTTTAAAAGTATTTTGATACATCTGGTAAAGGTAGGATGAATATACGCTCTTTGGCTAGGCATAACTCTCCCTACTTTCCCTACTTCAGGTCTAACCAACTTACATAAGGGCAAAATTAATGATGAAAATGCATTAACAACTTGAACATACCTATAAAAACATCTATCGAGTAGTGCTCATGACCAGCAAGAATGAAGAAAACTCCAAAGAGATTCATCACCCATGTGGCCGTATGAAGGAATGTCCACGATGCTGGTGTGTCTACAAAAAAAAANAAAAAAAATGTAAAATTCTATTCAAAAATCGGCAATGTCATAGCTTTTAAGAATTAGTTTGACGTCCGCAATTCCTAAAAGTTGTGAACTCTGACTTGGGCGGCTGCAAAGCGGCGCCGTGGCAGCAAAACAGTTCATAAATAACGCTACATTTACTAGTTGTACAAAATACAGCGCACTGCGCAAAATAGCGATATATGAACGGCATTCACATAAGGTTTCACGTAACTGGTAATTATTCAGTAGTATGATTGTCAAAAGGAACTATGAGAGTAAGAAGAACCCACATTCTGTTATGAAATGGTTCAAAAGCGTAATTGCTGTGGTATGCCCACTGAACATGTAGTCACCACAAGTTCGAACACCCTGGAATCTCAAGGATCAAGTAAATTCAGAATGGAACTAAGAATATCCATTTAAATCTACACTGAAGACACTGCAAAGAAATTCATGACCAAGAAACTAGTGGATCGTTTGAAAGCGAATTCACCAAAATTCAACCTCCCTTCAGCTTTTTACTGCAGGCCGAACTTGATAAATAGACCACAAATCCCAATTCTTACCAAATTCTGGGGAATTGGGTAAACCGTGTGGGAATTACTCCACGGAATCCTACTCCCTCCTTCTAATATTCCAAAANAAAAATCAAGCAAAACTCAACCTAATAAGCAACCCGAAATATTCGCCACCTCAGTAGTTCATTCGTAAAAACCTTGGCAGATCCCTCAGAAGGGGGCCGAAAAAAGTGCCCATCAATATGTAACTAAGCTTTGTCAAGGTGCACGACATGCTTTTGAAGTTGTTCATTGTAGCGGCTAAGCCCATAAACATTCTTTAAAAGAGTATGTAGTACAGTATGGTTTAAATTCTTCGATAAACTTTTCACAATTGAATGAGATCGTCCGAGCCGGAGGTAGCTAATAGTTGTCACAGCACAAGGCGGTGTAGAACACTACTCTTAACTCGATTCCGATATACAAGTTACCGCTACAGTAAAAAAAGGAGTTTATCCCGTAACCTTTGACCTCGATTGAACACAACAGTACCTGAATAGACATTCCTAGCCGTGACCATATATGAAATGCTTGCATCAATTTGTCCATAGCAGTGCCATAGCTCTGAAAACTTGACGGGTGACCATATGATATGATCTTTACCCTCATACATATTCAAAAAATCACTGATAAACATTTGATATCAACCATGTCATTCCCCAACTTTTCTTCAGATTATTCAGTAACAAAATCAGGAATTCTCAGACCAAAACACCAAGCACGTACTCTGATTTCCAGCCAACAAACACTTCCTCAGTTGAAGTGGAGGAACAGAATTTAATTACGAGGATGCTAAATCACCTGCTCTGGGCTAGTTTTCGAAAACATAGCCCCAATGAAGCTTTCTCTACAACAACCTTCTTTTTCCAAACAAATCCTCATTTAGTAAGAACCAGAAAGTGGCTACATGATGATGATATGCCGGCTAAAGACCTAAAGACCAGGATAATTTTTTCGAATTTTTGCTCCTTCTCATTGATATTGGCATGCCACATTTGCCGTACTAGACTGGTGGTCGTTAGAGCGTTCGGGCAAAAATTTGCATTCGACGGAGATTCATGGAAATTCCGAACAGTTCGGATAATCCTGTTCACACAATAAGTACAGTCAGTTTCTTTGTACTCTTGGCGTACGCCCGGGTGCACCCATTTCCCGTTTTCGTCTCCGCTCATACGAAAACAAAAAAGCGAGTGAAAAACCAAAAGTATGAACAAGCGGAGTTGACCCTTCTCAGCAATGCACTCAGGGTTAGTTATCGTGTTACGCGATAATCAACTCTATGAGAAATGAGCCGGCCTACCAAGCAATTTGGAAATACTCTTAAATTCTAAAGATAATCGCGATTTATGGACAAAATCGGTTCACTTTTTCACATTGTGCATCGTCAAGAAATCGTTCATAAGCCGGGGGTCCATGTCAAAAATTCTGAAGAAGAGGGGACCAGGACGTAAGTTGCGAGACTAGTCTCCCTCTTTAGGTCCCTATGACCCTTTATGATCCTAACTTCTGGAAGCACTGCGGCGCTTGAAGTAGGCCCAGGTCTCCCACTTCGGACTTCATCACCTGATCCCAAAAGGCAAAAGAAACGATTTTTCTAATATGGATATAAACGATAAGACGCTGAAGAATTTAAAAATTTGAGCCGCTTTGAAGCTGCGAATCTATCGAGAGTAAACAAAATTATTGAAAACAACAATTGGAAAACAATGTAAGAGATGAAAACTTTGAAAGAGATTTTAAGAGCAAGGACCATAATGAATGGAAAATTCGAGCACACCAACCTTTGCTCGACACTCAAGATGTACTCCTGGCACTGACAGCGATGTGATCAGCATTGTTATACAACGAAGCAGAAATACAGTTCCAACTAGGGAAAACATTCGTCGCATGATCACTACCCTGAAAGAAAGAACTCAAGACGTCGTATCGTTATATTCAACTACAACTCTAAACGCTCGCTTGGCTGACTGAAATAAACCGATAGACGACGATACTTCCGTTTCAACCATTAGTAATAATAAAAACAAACAAAAAAAACAACTAACCTATGCTTATGAAAAATAAGTACAGTGAACCAGATGAAAGATAGCGCTACACCTATCAGTTCACATACTTCGAATGCCCATGGAATTAGTGGCAAGTTGTCAAGTACAATATCTGGTAGGGGCGGATACATTTTCATATCTATAACATAATTTTTTGGGAAAAAGAAACTATGCCTAACATGTCCAAGAAATAAATACACACGCCATCACACAAGAAGACTTTCAAAAAGATGTTTTTTCAATAATTTCATTGAAAAAAGACAAACTGATCATAGATTTTTGAAAATTTTTCACTTTTTTTCTCGCGTTTTCTGTCAAAAATTGCAAATTTGGCGAGGAAAATTGGAGTGTTTATTAAAAATTGACACCTTCCACCCTGAAGTATCACAGAACAAAATATAACAACAGCCAGGCCAAGAAAAAAAAAACAAAAACTGGTAGTCCTAAACACACCTGGCACACGGTCATGTACTAGAACCATAACAAAGGCTGTAATGAGCAGTGAAGATAAGCAATATAAAAAAGCAATGAGCAGCTTGGCAAGACTTTTCGATTTTGTATCAGGACTTTCAACGGTCCGTATAAGCTGAAAGAAGCTTCCATAATGATGAGAAAGGATCATAAAGAGAAATCAGATTTATAGTAGAAAAATCCAGCAAAACTAACCGGGAAATGAAGCTACAATGTTTTAAAAAAACAATCAAATGCAGACCTCATCTCTTGATATCAAGCGCACAGAGCGGATATCACCGGAATCTGATATAGAATCGACGAGAGGGTCGTCACTATAAAAAGAATGTAACAAAAGTAAAAGTAATAATCAAACTGTATGAAAATATCCTGAAAGAAAAAAATAAAAGGGAAAAATAAACATATCATTCTCTGAAATATTACCCTCCTTTCGACTGACAAGCAACATAGTTCCAATCGGAAAAAACACCGTTCTAATTGAGACTCTGTGGTCATTTATAACTCTCATTCAAACAGGTAGACTTCATTTTACTTGTCTGGTACAGTGTTACTACGGAGTAAGCAGGGATAATTCTGTACTATTCATACGTACTATTAATTGGTGCGATTATGGCCGATGCTTAAATGCAGCTTTTAAGGAACTTAACTAGTCGATGCAGTAATTTTCAAATTATGAGGTACCTGAGGATGAGTATGCAGTAGTGAGAAAGTAAAATGAAGGTAAACAGCGGTTTACTAGGGTGTAGCCATAACGAAAGGGAAAAGATGTAGCCAGAGCCACTAGCATTTCCCATACTTTTATCGCTTCATAGTTTTTCAGATACTCAATTTGAGCGCTATTTTGAAATAGGACGTAGATATAACGCTATTATATCTTCATCGGGAAAAAGAGATAATATTATCAAAAATAACCAAACATTTCATTAACCCATTGACGACCATCGTTGCAGTCCACATGTGGACTGCATGGTCCCGGGCGGCCAATTTCTTTAATTTTGAACTGGAAGTTGTTTAATTTTTTCTGAGTTCGCAAGTTTAGGATAAAACTAACGATGATGGTAGGTGGCACTTCAATTTTAGTCAGCTAGTGATGGATTCTGATGAGGAGAAGTTCCTCATTCACTAATTCTTTTCAGAAAAAGAAATCATTGAAGGGCCACAAGTTTCTTCAAAAAAACACCGGTGTGGTGTAAAACTGTCTAAATTAGTGCGGAAGGTAGATCTACCCTGAAAAACAAAGGCTAAAATATAAGTATGTATGATGTCTATGCTTATTGTTATTATCTATTAATTGCAAAATTAGAAGATTTCTTGGGACCACACAGTATATAGTTTAACTTAGACCTGATCTTATGTATCGACAAGAAAGATCGTTAAAAAGTGGCGATAAATAAAATATACAACTGCAGTCCACATGTGGACTGCATGGTCGTCAATGGGTTAAATGATTACTTGTTAGTGAAACTATTTATAGAAAGCTTTTAAAAACGCAGCTCACATAATTGCACTCTGTTTCGTCCTAACAAAAACATCTTCGCCTGATATAGACATTTTCCTACGTTGATCATATTCTACACATAGTAAGACGTCATCATGTTGAGACGCGGATTCGGAAATTCGAGGTGATGGCTGACTTGAATTAATATGGGACTAAAAACAGCATTTAAAATAAATTTGCCAATCTGAAAAATAGAAAACCAACTCCATTAAATTCATACATTTCTCAAGTCATAAATTGCTCGACCAAGTCTTTTGATATCACCTAAGCATTTGATTTGTAACGGTGGATCTCGTAGATCGAGTTCGGACAGCATAAGTAAGGTAGCGCCATCAATCTGAAAAAAAATCGCTTCAAATGAAGGAAATTTTAATCGATATTCAGCTACCAACTTGTAAAATCAACTAGTAGAACGAAAGCAAGTTTTCAGCAAGGAATTTTCACGAAAACTTAGAAATTCGGGGATCCATCAAGCATTTGTCATTTTTAATCCTTGACGGTCCCAGCACTAGCCAAAGGGCAAATGAAAAACGAAAATAAGTCATACTTCAAAGAAATCGATACTTCATACAAGTAAAGGTCTTACTTTATGTTGAACGGCAAATAAATCAGCATACTGTTGAAAACCAGCATTTTGTAACCAGATGGAGACGTCTTTTGTCGTCCATTCGAAAACTTCTGAAGGCATTACGGTGTCCGTACCGCCGTTCGCCACTATTGGCGAACGTATTGCCTTTCGTACCATTTATTTTGGTACCCTGTAAAGTAAACTGTTGAAAATGGTAATCAAATTAAAAAAAGTAGTAGTTGGCGAAAAAACATGTGCAAAATGAGAATGTTGCAAATTAATTGAACGTTAATGAGCAATCAGAAAGAAAAACGAAGTTGCAAATTAGGAAAAAACGGAAAAATTGGATTTGTCGAGGATAATTGAAGTGAAAGCTGTGAAGAGGAATAAATTGCTTACTGAATTCGTCAAAGTTAACTAGTCATATGGGCCAGAAAATCGATATTAAGGCCGAGTGCCCGGATGAGATGAGGTAAACACAATGAGTGCAATGAGACAGCTATGTCTTAATGTAAGTAAAAAGAATCCAGTTGCTGAGAATGTTAGGGCAAAGCACAAGGGAATGGCCAACAATTTTTTCCCCTGAGTGAAACACATAAGCCAGCAGCTCGTCGAATGCTTCACGTCAGAGGCATCTCGTCCACCATGACTAATGGCCCAAGAGGAAAAGCTGGCAAAACGGCATTTGTTCAGATTTTCTTCGTGTCGAGAGGCAAACATTAAAGTAAAAAGAGTAATCGATTTGATACCGAAAACAAGTTAATCAAGTATTACGTCAATGTGACGTGAACAATCAAACGGGGCGATGTTATGACAATCAAAGTGTTCAATGATTACAGTCACCCACTGTAATTGAGGCATACTACGCGGGACCCACACTTCACTTGCTTGCATTCTAAGAAATTATTAGAAAAGCTCAATCACCATTGGAAAAAAGAGAAGTCAACGAAAATCAGGTGGTGGCAAATTTCCCCCAACAAAACACTGCAAGTTTTTATCAGAACAACATGTGTTTTTCAATAAATATGCCCGTAATTAGATTACTTACAGTATTACCAGTTCCACAAAGGATATAAAGGAAACAAAGTAAAAAACATCGTCGCCATAAAACCAGACTTATAGTCAGTAATAATCGGCAACAGACGAGAGTAGTCCTCGAACACTACTCACTGAAATAATCACCGCGCAATTTGGAAGGAAAGGGATCACGTTATGATAAATAGCCAATAAGACAGGACAATTCTTAGGATTGACGATTTTCAGGGTCCCGGTGAACTTGGCAGGTTGAGATTTGAAGGATGCCCACGGTCACAATCGTACACAAAAACGGGTTTTTGTGTCCGTTCTGCACTTACACCCAAAGACCTTCAGCCGATTTCCGATATGACTAATTGTAAGCTGCAGATGGATTTTTTCTCCATAACCGGTAAACAATCCTATACAACAACAACAACCTTAGTAAACAATTAAGAAGAAAATAGAGTTAATGTGGTAGAATTACAGCTGCCTGCTTGCTTGTGAGTATTGACTGGGCTAACTAAGGGGGCTCCTGAATACTCTAGTAGGCAGTGCTTAGGTGCCGGGTGGGTGCATTCCCTCTCCCAATTTCAATGTCCTTTATTGATTGCTATGAGATCATGGACAAACAAAAGGGTCATGGAGTATAAATCCGTCAAAATATCGAAGACAAATAGCCATCGAAGTCATTGGCGACGAAATATTGCCGCAAAGCGTTTCACGAAATACCGCATAGAATGATGGCAGGAGCGCCGAGGACGCAGAGGGGGCACTCTCGCCGTCTGGACTCTATCTACTTGTAGATGGAGAACGACCATTAGCTTTCAGTTTTTATTCGAGCGAATAAGTCGCTCACCACCACACATGACACCGGGAAACGGATAATAATGGGTGCTCCTGATGACCCCACGTGATAAATGAACTGTCCCCTATTGACGTGTAAAGGGGCGTTTCACGTGGTTGAGACATTTTTTTCAATCGCGTTCGCTAGCCAGAAAAAATGTCATGGCAATCATGGGTCACCTTCTGATAAGTTGTCATGGAGAGAACAGTATGTTGCGCCGGGCAACTCACCGCTGTATCAGCTTTCTTAACGAACAATTGCTGATATTAACTTACATTCATGCACTTATAATACGTGAGTAGTTAACTCCTCTGGACAATATAATACGTGAGTAGTTAACTCCTCTGGACAATATCCGCCGCGGGCCCGGTGATTGGCTAGTTGGGGTCCGCCCACTTGGGACCGCTCCGCCCACATAGTAGCGCCGCGTCTTCCTAGACAACCACGACCAACCTGTCTCCTGTAAACTCTACAGTACAGCAATTCGCTCTAAGCCAGGGTAATGCAGTCCCTGCAGTGTCTGGTCTACCCAGTAGACGAAGGGATGAGTAAAGGCGAACGACCTTGATGAAATTCGAGCGTGTGTAGTTCTGTTGTAGCACTATTCCCCCCTATCACACAGGCAAAGATATCGACTGGTCTCCCGTGACTTTGATGTAACATCTTTTTGTTCTGACAAGTTCTCAGTGCATTTTTTCTTCAAGCCTGCCACCATGACCATGGCTCTGCCTAGGAACACCTGCAGTTGCTCTCTGGGGAAAACATGAAAACGATCAGCTGTTCGGGAGACGAGTCGGCCGTCGGCTTTTTTCTCATTGCCGCATTATGATAGACAAGTGGTCGAACACTTTTCGAGAGTACATTTCGTTTAGCGAAACTACTCCATAAATAATTGAATCAGGCGGATACAGTACATTTTCTCGGAATGCCGTTTATCAAAGGTTAACAAGTTAGTACTGATTCAAAGAACCACACGTTTTTGCAAAATTCCCAAAAAGTGTACTTTACTGGATTGGTGTTTAGCTTCAGAGTATTGGCAGAGAGGTTGCCTCGGTTTGCTCCCCTGAGAGAAATTAAACAGGAGGAGCAAGGTGGCTCAGGACAGCTGTCACCATTCCAAGGGACATTGTGCAGAAGTCGAGAAATGCGTTGAGAAATGCTTTCAGATTCGAACAAAACTCAAATCTTATGACCCTGAAAAATCAATAAATAAGTGGACGAGGTAGGCTTGTTATAAAAGGCCACAAAAGTACTTCAAAGACGGCAGTGTGTAAAATGTACACATCAATGTTCACTGATAGGGAACCGGAATTCGCTTAACATTTGTTCCAAAAAGTAGGACTCGCTCCTTTTGCATCCATAAGGTAAGACCTGTACTAATCGTCTTACCGAGTGGATGGACAAGTCAGGACATTCGATAGGGAGGTGCAAATCAGACCGGACAGGAGGGTGTGGGGAGGAGATGGCCTGACATGAAAGCTGGCTGACCTTCGTCCATAGGACTGAGGATTACTACGATAATAAAGTTCTTGATTCACTGACTCTGAAGCACTATTTAACACTTTGGGAAAGCTAACATGAGCGTGTGAGATCGAACAGAAAGCAGTGGGCATGGCTTAGCTCATCTGTGATTGGTTGCCGTCAAATTTAGCCAATGACGGACGGGTGAAGTACGCAAATATTAAGAAGTAGTAGTATAACTTCTGGATAACTGAAAATATGGATGAACATGGGGGAACCATCAGGATTGATGCTCTGACGAGACGCAAAATATCGCAAATAGACGACAACGTATCAAAGTAGTATTGGAAACTTCAACTCTGGGAAAATTGGTTACCTACTTCTAGGGAATAACTGGTAACTAGAGTAGTAAGGCATTAATGTGCTGATACTTGAGATTAGTTGTTCGTTTATGAATTGCTTTCAGAAAAGAGTTGAATTCATGGTAAAATCGGTTACCAAAGTGCCCCATGCGTACAAAGGGAGACGCCAATGGCGAGTTGGCCGTAAGTGTGACTGCTTTCACCATGGACACTATTACTATGGACGGTAAACACGCCGGTAAACACGAAAACAAACATTACACCATCTGCCGACCACTGGTTCTCCAACAACAAGACCGAGATTACTATTTGTCTTTTGTTGTACTACACCTTGTTCTTCTTTGGTGGCTCCATGAACAAGCACAGAGACAACGAGAATGTGCCGTGAAAATGAAAAAGCCGGAAATTGAGAGGCCTTAATATCCGGGGGCTACAGAAAAATGGAACACTACCATGGTCCTGGGATACTTCCTATACCAACCGAGCCGTCCATTCTTTCAAAAGAAAGTATTTAATTGGTGCCAGACTCCCAGAAGGATTAAGGATTTGACTTGTGCTCTAGCTGGCCAACCTAGGTCAATGTATGGGCTAGATACACATTCAAAATGCCACTACGGCTCTGAATGGAAGAAAAGTGCGAGGCACATCCCAAAACGAGATCGATAGACGTTAGTAAGCTTCTATCATCTTTTAAGAAGGAGTCGAAATCAGCCTTCCCACAGAAGGATAAAAAATATTTGATCAGCGTTCATACTTCAACCTGTGCTATTAGAAAAGATTGCTGATCTTCTGCTAGCCACCTATTGCAAGAATGTGCCATGATCATTTCAGTTTTGAAATTTCTAAATTGCTTTTCGACAATTTTCAATGTTTCTCACGTTTGATTAAAAAAAGACGCAGACTTTCTCTGTCACTCTCACCAACAGTATTCTTCTTGAGCGTTCATACTCGTTCTTTTCCAAACGACTTTTGACCACACCGTTCTGCGGTGACTGCACTTCTTGGCCAGTTCCCTAGCACATTACACATTATTCACATGCTCATTACAAAACTGATTACTTCAGACTCCCGGATATACAAAGCTTCACTCATCAACTACATTTCACTAAAAAACCTGTCCAAAAGTAGATGGGTACTGTAACGAGATTTTGTAAAACGGTTTATTTGAAAGCAGGTGATATCTTGCACAATAGAAAATGGCGCCTGGCACGTTCCCCATTGGTGGATTGCTTACCTGACCTTTTGGCTTTCCAACCCGCCAATAAGAAATGCAATGGACACATCAAACATGTTTTCGTATTCGCATCCTAATGCGCTTATAGTTCGATTCTATTCTATGTTATTTTATTTATTATTATTAGTATTATTCATCTATTAATTAACTTGTATTTGTCTGTTTATTCATTTTGTTTTGTTTTCTTAAAACTTCGTAGTACAATGATACGCCATAACTATTTCCTTTTTAAAAAATTCAGAATACTTCACAAATTTTCAAAGATTCCCATGACCGGTGAGAACAAAATAGAAAACTTCCTAAAATGAGTCCATACCATCGTCCTCGAAGATACATATGTTGTGTCTATGGTGTTCAATCCGATCTAAGATCCCGGAATTATCGTAGGGAGAACTAGTTTGAAACCGAAAATCTATTCGTAGATCTGTTATAGTAGATAATCTCAAGTTTACTATATAAGGTCCTTGAAGTCATGCAGTAACCATCATGCAGTCGAACATTCTACTTATCCAGTAATCCAGTCTTCCTAACTGCTTCAAAGCAATCAAAAGTTGTTTCTCATCCCTTTCTCTCCGGTTAAAACAAATCATTCAAAAATGGCCGGTAGCCCGTGGGATCTTGAATAATGGATTTTTGCTTGGCTTCTTTCCAAATTTCTCCTCTCAAGAACTTCTAGAGTTTTCGGATTTCCTGAATAAAGTTTGATTCTTGCAGATGGGAAAATACCCTTCACCCTTCCTTGCCACGTCTACGAACTTTGCAACGCTCCTGTCGGGATGTGCCTTTCTTGCACTGGTATGACATTTATTTCACGACATCCTCGACCTCCCCCTCATCCTTTACTTCATGCATTTAATCTCAGGTCATCTCGATGCCCGTTCTGTTCACCATCATGAACAACATCGAGGAGGAACTGATGGAATCACGCGAAGTCTTCAGTGAGATGACCAACGTCATGTGGAAAGACCTGATGAACGAGAATGACCTTATCCGCAGAACGTCCCGTCAAGCCGCTTGTACGTCACGGTCTCTTTGATTTACTTGTTAGTAGTTATTTGGTTTTGTATTTAGACAGACAAGACGCTGGATCCGCCAGTGGAGGAGTTGCTGGAGCTGGAGCTGGAGGAGCAAGTGCACAATTTGAGTCTGGAAGTGGAGGATCTGGATCTGGGCAATCCGCTGCTCACGGTGGCGTAGGAGGCGGAGGAGGCGGAGCGAGCTACAACAGTGGCGCTGGTGGAGCTGGTGGAGCTGGTCTACACGGTGGAGCTGGTGGAGCTGGTCTACACGGTGGAGCTGGTGGAGCTGGTGGAGCTAGTGGAGCTCATGGAGCTGGTGGAGCCGGTGGAGGTGGTGGAGTCAACACCTGCCCACCTGGACCGAAGGGTCCCAAGGGAGCTCCTGGAGAAAGAGGTATGTTTGCCTTGGCTTCCTATGCAATACCACCAGGATAAATGTTTTCAGGAATCGATGGTAATCCTGGATCTGCTGGACTGCCTGGAAGATCTGGGTTGGCAGCGAATGGCCTGTCTGATGCAGAGTGTGCTCCATGTCCCAGAGGCCCACCTGGTCCACCCGGATACAAAGGAAAGCATGGTGCACGTGGGCCAAAGGTATGATCTGATCATTTTGAAAATATAGACAATTTTCTGACTAGATTATTTCAAGGGCGAGAAGGGCCCACAAGGAAAGCCTGGTGAGGATGGAGCTCCCGGAGATGAAGGTGTGGATGGTTCACCAGGTCTTCCTGGACCAGTCGGTCCTCAAGGAGAAAGAGGTTGTTTTCTCATTAGATTCAAAAAGAACCACACCTGAATAACCAAGGTTCCCATTTAGGACCACCTGGACTTGACGCCCGCGGCACAGTCAAAGGAGCTCCAGGACCTCAAGGAGAGATGGGACCACCAGGAATGCCCGGAGATGAGGGTCTTCCAGGAGAGCGTGGAGATGATGCTTTGCCAGGACCACAAGGACCTCCTGGACCTGTAGTATGTATTGAGAGGTTTCCAGAATGTAACGTTCAGAGACCCAGTTAAACTCAGTCCAATCATTCAGGGAGCACCCGGCGAGACCGGCCCACCTGGTTTCCCTGGTCTTCCTGGTCGTAGTGGAAGGAACGGTGATGATGCTGAATACTGCCCTTGCCCCGATAGATCGAAAAAGCGTAAGTTCAAGGTTTCAATAACACGCAAGCTCCCAAATTACGAGTTATCCAACATTCAGCAGCCTATGCACTGCCAAAAGAGGACAAGTACCAAGAAAATGCACCAGAAGGGCAGGGTGCATCTTTGGCACAACACAGTTCGAAGTTCAGCGCTAGCGAGAAGGGTGAAATTTTCAAAACTTTTAGTCTCTAGTTGAGCTTCAGTTCATTAAATACATTTACAGTCCCACTAGGAGAAGGAGCTATCGTAGCCACAGCTGGAGGAGCATCGGCCAACAAGGACTTCAATGCCGTAGGTCCAGACGGTGGACCTCCAGTCTCGGATGGTGGAGCTCGCGTTGTTGCTAGCCCAGTGAGGCTTCAAACTCACTGTTTCTACTTGTACTGCCCTGAACAACGAACATTTAGGGACCAATTGGGGCTGAA